CCATTCTCATTCCTCGCTGCAGGTTTCCCTTAATAGAATCAAACTGGATAATAAGTGCTAATACTGTGATACAGCCCTCTGTACTTTGACCTAAATTCTCCTCCAGCTCCCAAGGGGGTGGGCACAGGCAGAATGCTGTAAAATTTCCTCCAGTGCATGGACAGGCAGGAAAAAGCCATACAGACAATCCTCATCCCTGTGTTTTGGGAACTTTTTAAGGTCTAGGCTCTGCTGTACCAAATTCTGTGCAAAATCCTATCCAGTACTCTGATCCCAAATTGTTTGAGGTCTGTAAATATCCAAACAGTGCTTGGTCCCAGAGCCAGTTCTCCAGAATGACCTTTCACTGCTGCATGCAGCCAGATCAGACAGTCACAGCTGGTTTTTTTTAAAATAAAAAGATAAGACATGGCGCAGTTTTCTAAGTTTGGTAATTGCACTGCCAGCTTAAGCACCCAATAAGAAAGCAAATATCACTGTGATTAATTAATATCACTGAGGGGGAGGGTTTTATTTTGTTGGGGTTTTTTTTTCTGAGAGATTATCAAGAAAAGTCAGATTGGTGTAAATATCACAAGTATATTTTGCTCAGGTTCATTTGGCAGGTCAGGTTCCAGGGAAATTCTCCATTTAACTGCTCTCATTGTTATGTAACCCAAATTGTAGTTTTAGACAAATGAGCCACATGTGCTTCTCTAGGACACGCACAGAGCTATATGCTTGCATGCTCCAAGATGTGTGGAGCAGAGCAAAGAGGTCCAGGAATGGGATCGGGGATGGAATGAGGTGACTGGTTCCTTCTGGTCCTAATCCCAGCAAAAACACATGTTGTCGCCCAAGAAACTGGTCCAAAATTACTTCTCAAGTAGAAATGGGCATCCTTAGACTTCAGGGTTAAGGTTTCAGGGTTAAGGCTCCAGGTTGTGGGGCAGGGGGAGGTTACAACCATTGTAAGGCATTCCCACACTTCCTCCTCCCAGGTCAGGGACAGCAGGAGTGGCAGCACTGACCTCCAGCATGGCTCAGCCTGCACTTCCAGAGGAGGTCTGGCAGCCAAGGGGAGGAAGGAAGGAATGCAGGCTCTTCCAGTCACCAAGTTAATGGGTTTCAATGCATAATTAGTGTCATTCTTGAAAACCCACGTCTTGTCACCACTCTAAATGTGTTTAGCTTCTGTTTCCTCATTATTTTAGGATCTCGTTTTTCCGCTAGATTAAGGAGATGCTTTTGTTTCCCCCCCCCAAAAAAAAAACCCTCTCCCATGTGGGTGTTCATAGATGATTAAGAGATGATTGGAAACCTCTTGGCCTGCTCTTTGCATTAAACATTTGCCTGAGGAAGGACAAATATCCACTATGCATTTTGGAAGTTTGACAAAATCTGACGCATTGAGCAGAGACTAACAAATCCCTGATTTGTATCTCATCCTGGGTACCACAATTCTTTGGAACTACTTATGCATAGTGATCACGAAATGAATTAAAGACTAATTTTCCTATATTGCCATAGAAATTTTGAGGGATTTCAGACTACCCTGAAAAGCCCAAGCACCCCAAGAGAGCTAGTTTCGATTAGTCAGGGAGAGCAGGGCTGCTCCCTAATGGAAAAGCCAGGAAAACCAAGCAGCATCCCAGCATCAGGGCAAAATGCAGGCAACCCAGCAGCTCAGGCTGGGCTGAGCTCAAGTGGGGACCTCTTGCTATCATTATTAGGGAAAAACAGGTGCCTTGAGATGTGAAGTCAACTTTGAGTAAGTTGGTGGAGAAGATCTCTTCTCTTCACTTTCTCTGTCCCTATCAGAGAAAATTCATTTCAACTGGTGTAGTGAGAAAACATGACTTGACATCTCTGACTCCAATCAAAACACATTTTTTTTTTTTTAAACACCACTGGCATGTCAGGGTACGTGTCCTCCTGCAGCCACAATAGTTTCCAAACTCCCTGTGCCCGCAGCTACTTCCAACCCAGCCAGAACGTGCAGCAGCACATGAGCCTTCAGGCACACCACAGCTGGCCAAGCTGAGCAAAAGGGTTCAGCTCCACAAATACAGAGATCTAGAGTTACACACTACACGTTTCTTATCCCATTTTCTTTTTGATTTGATTTTTATTTGCAAGCCAGCACAAATGCAATGTTCTGTGGAGGGACACACTCTCTTTCCCCTGCCTTGAGACAGACAGAAAGACTTAGGAAATGCCACAGAAATAAAATCCACACAGAAAATGCAAGAATTGAGCAGTTCAGCTTTCAAGAGTCAGATAATGGCAAACAGAAGGTTGAACTTTTCCCCTCGTGTGCATATGCATCATGATTCATTGCATACTCCTCTTATGCTATTCCTCAGCTATTGCAGCATGCCATAATTTGTCTCCAGAGGCAAACAGTAGTTTGCAGAGCTGCATACTTGTCTCTGTGCGGCGGGGCAAGGCTGAGTTCACAGCACATGCCCAAGGCACTGCACACCACGGCAAGCGTGCTGCCGTCAGGGAGAAGCACAAGAGCAGGGCTGCTCCCTAAAGGAAAAGCCAGGAAAACCAAGCAGCAGCACCAGCACAGGAGCAGGGCAAAGGGCAGGCAAGCCTGTGGTGCAGCTCAGGCTGTGCTGAGCTCAAGTGGGGACCATCAAAAGTCAAGGTGAGGCAGGTCAGGGAATGGGTCAGGTTGGAAGGGACCACAGTGGGGCATCTGGTCCAGCCTCCCTGCTCAAGCAGGGTCATCCCAGAGCACATGGCACAGGATTGTGTCTGAGGAAGACTCCCCACCCTCTCTGGGCAATTGTTCTAGTGCTCAGTCACTGCACAAAAAAGTTTTTCCTCATGTCCATGTGGAGCTTCCTGTGCATCCATTTCTGCCCATTCCCTCTTGTCCCATTGCTCAGCACCATGGGGCAGAGCCTGGTCCATGCTCCTGGCACCTTCCCTTCAGATACTGATAGATATTGATAAGATCAAGGTCTGTTAGTGCCCTCAAGGCCCCCAGCTGGGCCATGGATGCCAGTGAGACAATTCCCTGCCCTGAAACAATTCCCTGCCCTGAAACAATTCCCTGAGGTACAAGGGATGTTGCATTACAAGGTGGCTGAATTACACTGGATCAAGTGGCCTGGCCATGGCTAAGCCAAAAGCTGCCCCACACACCCAACCATGCAGGATTTGGCCTTGTGAGGTCAGAAGTAGTGGCAGGTTTGAGTCACTTCTGGCAGCAACTCGAGTGCAGCTCCTCATCCCCAAAGCACAGCTCAGAAAAAGCTCTGCTAGAAAAAGAGCCTGAAATCATGGCTTTGTGTCCATGTATCCACATCACCGCTTCATCCCAGCCAGTTTGGACCAGTGGAGTCTGGCAGGCTGGTACTGCAAATTCCTCTGAAAAACATCCCTGAGCTGCCTTCTGAAAGGAGTCCAAGCCCAGTGCTGGTGCTGCTGAAGTCAGCATAACCCTGAGCTCAGGCAAGAGCGCTGCCTGTGGAGCCTGCCTGTGCACTGGACACGCTTCCCAGAGCTGCAGGCTGAGTAATCAGCTATTCCCATGCAGATGAGCCCTGGGAGATGAGCAGCAACCAGCACTGGGACCCGGAGTTCTGGGAAGAGCAGACCTCTGCTTTCCCAAATATCTCACGGCGGGAGTGATGCCGCTCGAACCTTGCGAGTCATAAAAAGTAATGGGAAACAGATGCTGCTGTACCTTAGATTAGAATCTGTGTTTAGATTTCCAAGATAATTTTTATCTCTGATACTTTGGCTAATGCAAGGCTGATATGATAAATGGATTTTTTTGTGGAGTCTGAGAACGGTGTGCCTGCTTCAGAACGCAACCTGATCCGGAGTTGTCTCCGGCAGGGAGACAGAGAAAAGAAACAGAGCTGGCCTGGATGAGGGTTGGGGTGGAGGATGGTCACAGGTAGGAGGTCAAACAACCCTGGACTGGAGCTGGAGAGGGAGGAGTCACATCTCCCCTCCCACCTTCCCCATCCCACCGGGCTCCTTGGTGGCAAGAGGAGCCTTCCCTCCATCCCTCCCAGCAGCCATGCAGCCTCCCCAACCCATGTCTCAGAATCTTCAAATCCTAAAGGGAGTGGGCTCAGACACCCAGTACACTGGCTTAAATCACCCACTGATGGAGAGAAGAGGGTACCACATTCCAACAATCCGTATTTCCACTGGCCCACAGTACCAGGATGGGGTATAGACCTCCCTGTGCATCCTCATCTTCCTTAGCTCAGCTGAACCCTGAAACTGAATTTTTTCTGAATTTCTGAAACTGATTTTTTCCATAAGTTGTCCTCCCATATCCCTTGTCCTCGTCACCTCTCCTGAGGCCAGGCACAGTTTACTGTCATGCTGTGACTTCTTTTTCACTGTCCCCCTGAAGCAATGGCCACAAAAAGTCCATAAAGCCTTGTCTTGATGTGCAGCCAATGGGGCCAATGGCAAATGCACATGGCAAAAGAAAAAAAAGGGGGTAAAGAGTAAGAGATATATATATATATTTTTTTAAGATAATTTTTTCATTATTATTTTCCAGCCTGAAAACTCTTGGCAGAGTAAAACTCATCAGATCCTTCTAGCATTGTAAGCAGAGATTATGTAATATTTACAGTGATATTAATGCAATCAATCAGCGTCAGCAAGTGGAGATTTGGGAGCCAGCTATATACACGAGAGAAAAGTGGGGAAAAGGGAAGCACAAAGGGGTCCCTGTGATGGCCAGGGAAAGATGCCAAATAATTTCACTGCTTTCCAAACTAATATGTTACAAAATAACACAATCAGCTTTGGCCCAGTTCATTAAAAATAATTGACTTGACTGCTCGGTGACTTCCCGGCAGACGGGAGATGCCCACGAGCACCCAGGCGTTCCCATAAACACCTTTCCTCCTCCCATTTGAAGGAAAAGGCTTTGCCCAGCCCTGCTGCAGCTCAGTTCCAAATGATGTCAAAGGAGCCCTTGTTGGACCTTGGGCTAGTGGGAATGGTGAGAGAGTCGTGGATCAAGAGCCCTCACTGAAGAGAAGGGCTCGGCCACCGCTCCCTCCTCTTCCAACAAAATGCCAGTGCCTGAAAGAAGCTGTTCTTCCCAAGGCATCAGACTTTGCAACCCTGAAAGCCCCACTGACAGCAACTTCTGCTGCTTTGTTTTATTTTCCTTTCCTCCTTCAGGTGGAAATGCTGAGAGGGAATTGTTGCCAGAACTCGATTTCTGCATCGCTATTGTAGAAATGTCTGGCAGCGGGGAAGAGGCGTTGTTTTGCTGCACAAGGGGGGCAAGTGGGACCTGCAGATGATTTGAGAAAGGCTTCAAACCCAACCCAGCCAGATCCCAGGTAGGTTGCAAAGGGCTCAGCAGTTGGTTTCCAAGGAGCTGGGAATGTGCTGAAGAACAGCAGCTGGGAATGTGCTCTGGTCCCTGTCTCCCAGGATGGAAACTGCAGGCATTTCTAAACCATATCTTGGAATAAGCCTCTCCTAAATAGTTGCTACTGATGTTTGGACCCCAGCCTACAGTTTGGCAAAGGCCAGTCTTGGGGTTCAGGTCTTAGTGTGGAGTGTCTCAAGTTCTGATGATGCTGGAATGAAGGATCCCTGCTGCTCTGGCTGGTGGGCCACTCTCACTGAGGGGAATAGGCAAACAAGTTTACAAAGTCAGGTCACATCCTTATAAACCCATGAATCCTGCATTCAAAAGAGGCAGGAGGGAATGAATGATGTAGTTTGTCTAATTTAAAAATGTTATGTAACTAATGAGCTACTGGATCGGCCGGTTCTCACATCCCAGTAGAAGATCTGATCTCTGACTTGTGCTGGACCATGGAAGAGTTTCACACTCAATCCAAGAAATTCAGGTCTGCTCTGAAGGGGTAACTGCCTGTTGATGTGTTTGCTGAACTGAAAAATTTCAGCTTACAGAATTTACCCTGGCCTGCTACATAAAGGACAAAACCTGTATTTCTTTAGAAATGTGTCACTTAAGAAACAGAGGCAAGGACCCTAATAAAACTAAGAAAAACTGAAGGGACAGAAAGGTCTGGAACCTTACAGCATTTTCTTCAGAGGACTTTTTCGACCAGGAATTCAGTTTAACTTCCGGACACTACAGTTATGCTTTATTTGGAGAGAGTCTTTATATTTTAAAACCCATCAAGTGCAGTAAAAGAACAGGAGAGACACCATTTTTCTCATGTTCCATTTGTTATGTTACCCCAAACCCAGGGGAATGCTCAGACCAAAATCAAAACAGGCATACTCAGGAGGACAGGAGCCACCTGTGGAAATTCCAGAAAGATTTGCTGACACCCACCTTGGTTGAAAGGGAAGGGACAGCTGAGTGGCAGAGCACTGCTGAGCTCCTGACGCCAGTGAGGGTAGAGATGATGACTCCTGGAATGCTGGTTTTGAGAAGAGCAGTTGGCCTGGCTGTGATTGAGAAATGCCTGCTCTCCAGAGGAGGATCAGCACGCGGGCAGCAGTGAATTTTTCAAGAGCAGCCCTCCCCTCCAGTTTGTTTGGCAGTGAGAGCCACTTGTCTCTGAGCAGGCACTCAGCATGTGATCATTTTGGGCTCCTTCCCATTTAGGAGCATGACTCTTGGGGAAAGCTTGACATCAGATTATGCCCTTCTCAGAGAGTACAAAACTTTGTTTCGGGCCAAGTTTTGTGCATTTCTGACTCCTGAGCCATGCTCTCACTTTTTCTTTGTCCCAGTGAGTCTATTTTGGGCTGAATTCCTAGTGACACGAGCAAAAATTCCTAGAAAAAGACCCTTGTGTGCAGAGGGAAGAGCAAACTCTTTTAACCACAACCACAAACCACTTCCATAAACTCCAACCTTTTGCTCCAGCTTTTAGGTTTCCTTGCAGAGACTTGGAAGCTTTCTGGGCAAAGTTTAGTGCTCCTGGGGAGAAAGGGCCCCTTTTTTATTGCTGCAGAAACCTGTTCCTTGCATCATGGAGGTGCTCACCAGATGCCCTAGAAACCTTTGTCCCTGGGAGCAAAGGAAAAAGAACACTTGCCCCAGAGAACTTTAATCATGTAAGCAACTAAATTAGGTGGCTGATCTGCCTTTGATCTCTTTATAATCTCTGCAGAGATATTTATTTAAGTGAGTATAGAGCAGGAATTAACCTCCTGTGCAGGGAAGAGCCTTACAGAGTAACCTTTGTCTCTTCCCTGTGTAGAGGAGCAGTTTAGCCCTTTAGCCAGGCAGCTAAACTGACTTAGAGACTTAAAGACTTAGACAGCTTAAGGAGACACCTGGAGGTGTCATCACCTTCTGGAGATGAATTCTTTTCTGGTACTCTGTCCTCTGTGCCTCCATGGAGGGGGAAACGCTTCATTTGTGCTTCAAAATCTGGACAACACCTTTCCCAATGCTAAACTGACCAAGAATTAATAGTGGATAGAAGGATGACCTGAAATGTTTGTTCCAGGAGAGCAGCAGTTGCTTTCCCTGGTCTCTGGTGATATTCACAGCTTTCTCTGTCAGTCACACTGAGGCAAAAATTATGCAATGCCCCAACTGTACATTTATCCACACTTCTGGTGCTTTAGCAATCTGGCTTCTCAGCTAGAGGCTGGAGCCAAAGCATATTAAGAAATGAGCCTGTGTTTTGAACATATGCTATCAGCAAAGTCTCATTTTTTTGTTGCCACTTAGTATTTCTTAACAGGAGGAGAATGCACATGGGGCTGTCTCAAGGCAGGAATGAGGCAGGACAAAGCCCTGCATGGCTTTACACCTTCAGGCCATCGGTCTGCAGTGCAGAGGTGTCCAATTCTGACCCACCCCAGTTAGGAATAATGGAAAGAATCATCAGCAAAAACACTGCAAGGGCCCAAGACGCTGCCAAACCACCCATCATCTTGTTGCAGGCAAATATGGAATAAAAAGGACTGAGCTGCACATGACCTCAGGATGAAAGATGGATTGGGGAGAGCTGTTCACCCCAGTCTTGGAGAGCCGTGGGCTTGGCCAGCAGTCCCTGGCTAAATGATGAGTCCATCCTGTTCGTTATAGACACAGAGCAGCCCTTGGCTGCTGCTCTCGTCTGTACTTCTATTTGTGCCAATAATACACATTTTTAATGGAGATCTTAATTGCCCCACTAGATTTATTATCAGGGATGTTATCCATCCCTTCCTTCCACCCCCTCCCCCCTGCAGCTCAATTCATCATTTTTACGAGAGGGCAAGTTGATGACCACGCCTCCTCTGCTTCCCAGGGACAGCACCGTGGACATCAGCTTCACCATGTCCCAAAAATCAGACAGGATGAGTTCACAGAAAGCTGGTAAATGACTGAGTGTGAGCACAGGGAGGCCAGTTGCGTTATTTTCACCCTGAGCAACTCGAGGTGCCAGTACCACAGTGTCTATTTTGCAGCAGGATAATGAGAACAAAGAGATTTTAGGCTAGAATCCAAATCACATCCTCCTATCAAACCCTGCTGAGCCAGGATGCTGAAATGGCTGAGCCTGCAGCTCAGAGCTATATAAAGCTGCAGCCCTTGGCTGTGCCAGGCTAAAGTGAGTTCTACAGGAGGGAGGTTACAGGCCTCCAACGGGATGTAAACTGAGTTTCTGGGCGCAGCAGAAAGCGTGTGGCTGGTGTCTGTGCAGATCCTGGCAATCTGAATCCTTCGATGTAAGCATTGGTGGTGCCAAGCAATTACAATGTTTATAGAAACTGATGGCCTACATCTGTTTAAAATACTTCCCAGTGTTTAGACTGACAGGACAGAAAACATTCTGCAAGGAGTAAGCAGAAATTGGATGGGTTTTTTAATATATATATGGGTTTTAGTTGGTTTTGGTTTTTTTTGTTTTTAACTTAGAAGAGCTCACACTAAATTGATTAACTACTCAAATTCATTAGCACTGTAAGCACTGCAGAACGAGCACAAGCCATAAACCTGCCTTCCTGCATGGCAGAGAATTAACAAAATGTCAGAAAACTCTTCCAGAAGGTGAAGCCTGTTTGGAACTGGACTGAAGCAAGAATGTAGTCTCCTATCCCAGCAGCTTTATAGCCTTCCTGCTTGATTTTAAGCAAGACAAAGCTTTCTCTCCATTGAGAAATCAGCCAGGATGGCTGATCCCAGTCACTCCAACAGAGATAACAAACATTCTCACTCCAGTGTAGCTATTTACAGATGGAGCAGAAGAGCAAGCTGAGCTGTCAGCATCACCTGCTTGCAGAGGATAACTAGATCTGCTGCACTGCACAGAGAAAGACAAAAAAAAAGCTCTTGGCCTTATCTCATCTGCCTGTGGTGGTTCCTCATCTCCACCCCAACACTGCCCTTTATTGCTTTGAGTCCTTCCAGGAGGTTCTGCAGGGTCAGTGGTCCTTCTTCACACCAACACCCTGCTGGACCCAGGGGATGCTCCTTCTTGGATTCAGGGAGCTTTGGCCATGAGTAAAATGTCCAGATGGTTTAGGGATGAAAGAAGCTGAGATTTGTAGGTTGTGACCATGACAGCAAAGAGAGCAGAGCTGTGCAGTGCTGCAGTCCCACAGTGACACAAGGGCTGTTCAGAGACCTCAACAAGCCACTGCAAACTAGGGCCACATCCAGAAACCCAAGGACTGCTTCAGAAATGGCCAAACCCCAGGACCCCACAGCCAAGCCCAAGAGCTTTGGAAAAGCACCTTCCCTCAGCTGCAGCAGCTCTCTAAGCAGACTGTGCAACACATCAATACCCAAATTTTCCTGCACATACCCAGGGGCTTGTTTGTACAGCCAACCTCATCTTCCTCTTCCTCGAGCATGCTTTGCCACCTGACTGCTGAGAGAAGCCCTCCCTCATTAGCAGTTTGGAATCCTGCTATAAATCTCCCTGTAGGGCTCACTCCTGGGTGACAATGCCCCAGAACAAAGAGCCCCATTCACCAGTCGAGCCTTTGGAGTTCATTTTCCTTTTTTAATGTCAGTCCTAGAGGCAGGGGGCACGTTTTATGTGCAAAGCACACAGAGACCCCAAAAGGGACACCCTGTTCTGGAATTAGTTATAACCAAGTCCCCTCGGGCATGGCTGCTGCTCAGCAAGTGGGAAGGTCTCTCCTCTCTCTGTTCTACTGAAAACAAATGTATGGCAGAAAAAAAATCCATCTCTGGAGCTCTCCCTTAGTTCACTGCCAGGATTATTATGGTGTTATTACGGTATCTAGTTTAGTAAAAAACAGTTTCCATTCTCATTTTCCTCCCACCCAACCCCTTGTATTTTTAAGGCCACTTGTGTCACACACACACACACCCAAAACTCTAGCATGGAAGGCAGCCACATCAAGCACAGCATCACAAAAAAAGCAGCCACCATCTCTTCCA